AACAAAACAAAAACAAACAAACAAATACGCCCAAGTTAAAGAAGTCTATTCATGTTTACACTTYATTTGGTTTATCATAACTAACAATATAATTTTTTCAATAAAAAGTTTTCTTAACTACAACTACTAGAATCACTTGCACACTTTCTTATTCTCAGTTAACGAGCACCAATTGTCTTCCTCTTCTTACGAGGCAATACAAAYTGGATAAGCAGTAAAAAAACGCAAAGCATCTTCATAGCCAGAATCAAATGACGCCATCYATACAAACGGCCTAGAGACTCTTGTATGTGACTTCAAAGCAACTCAATTTGAAGTACAAAACAAAAGAATAAGCCTGAAGCGAGATGACGTTTTACCCCTGTCTCTAGACCATAATCCTTTTCACACTGCTTTTGTTCTTTAATTATGACTATTGTTCCAGTATTCTCTAAGGAATCAAAAAATTTTAATATTTAAGAATTTTAAAAACTATTATGGTATAGAGTCGGGGGTAAAACGTCATCACGCTTCAGGCTTATTTCAATCTCCCGAGAATTGGAAATCTATCGTTATATCCTCCAAATCAAGCTACATTCCAACGTTCAGCAATTGGTCTATTTTATTCTAATTCTAGCCGATAGTGTTAACCGTTATAAATACCTTGACGGAATGACATGACCATTACTAGTTACGATAATTCCATTTCCAACCAGCTGCTTCTGTGGTGGCTTTGGTTGCTATGGAGATCAAAGCAAACCCACACTTTTAATTACCATACATAAGAACATTTGAATTGGATTGATATACAAAACAAATATAGCTTTTCCTATTGGCTATTGCTTGGTTTTACTTGACAATATTTCTTGTCTCGTGTAGAATGTTCGCTAGCTGAATAGAATTCTTCAATTCTGGTTGACAACACATGGCGACCAGTGTTTGACTACCATTGCTTACTATCAATCACGTGACTTTTTGGAGTTGACTGGGGGGCAAACAAGCGGTTGACAGGGGGCAACTAGCGGATGCTAAGTCAAAACATATCGAAATAAGTGCTCAAACTATTGTATTTGACTATTTTCACGACATCAAACCAGAAAACAAGAGATCAAAACAACCTCCAGGATTCTACAAGCCATTAAMCAAGAGCTATTACCGGAAGTGACGTCTATTGATAGCAACCTATTTGGAGCACATAATGAGTTGCAAAGCCAATTGAAACAAAGAGCCTTTAAAAAAAACTAAAAAACACTGAGTCTTACCAAGGCAGGAATTGGAGGTAGAAACCGTCCTGCTGCAGATAAAAAAATAAAATATAATAAATTATTGAATAAGAGATGGCCATTGAAACTAAACATAGTCTTCTATGAATCATTTCTAGAATTTCTCCGGGTTTTCTTCCTCCATAAAACTCAACACGCTAAATTCCAATTCGAACTGTGAGTTAATCTTGCTCAGAGGTTGTTTCAGGGTTCAATCTGTGAGTTAGC